CCAAAATGCCAGCCACAAACATGCGCGCCAGTGGAGCCGCAAAATTGAAGAAGAGAATGGTGGAGATGGTGGGCCAAATACAAACTCCTACCGATTCGGCAGCATCCGGAATCCTGCCAGACGTCAGTCATGTTGTCTGGCTCCGGCAGGAGGCCACATTTCACTGCTATTCAATATGTCAAAATCGTGTCGATAACGTTCAAACAAGCCAAAGTTCGTTGGAAGGTTAAAGGGGCTTATTGGCAATAGGGTATAGGGTTAAAAGACAGAATGTGGCAGGCTGACGATAGCCGCCATTTGTGGCTGCAAAATGTGGTTGACGCCTGCCAAAAATTGAAGCCAACAGCCAGGACATTTAGCCCTGAACAAGGACACTGGCACACGTTGTGCGCAAATTTTACAGGCTTCAATGTGATTTCGCCTAAAATGCTTACACACGGCCATTAAGAGTATTAAATTTATCAATTATCTAACTTTACTTCTTTTTATTTGAATTTTGAAGTCCATAACATGACTATAAGTTGACATAACTTGACTAACTAGACCAAAGGGTAATAAGAAGTAGTAACTTATTATATTTTTCTAATGATCTTTGTCCTTGTAGATGCAATAATTGCCTTTACTGATCCCTTTTCTTATGATTTAATTCAGATTTAAAACTCTGTAAATCAGCATTTATGATCCTTAATGAAGAAATTTTTACATTTACCCCATAACCTTAAATTGTTTAACGCCAAATGTGGCACAGTCATCGTTTAAATTGCACCCAAGAATGGGAAACTTAATTAATCAATTTCAAATCAATTACCACAAATTTGTTACCAATATGCAAAGACATGAATCACGAGTGCCCCAGACTTCCGGCAAGATAAGAGCACATCTCTCAGACGCAGGCTAATGGGTTAGGAGGGAGAGGAGATGATGAGAATGAGAATGAGAAGGACTGGTTTGGGCATAAACAAATCTTAGCTGTCAAAAGTGCTCAAAGCCATTGTGCTAATCTCAGAATTTGGGTTTTGGGCAGACAGAGACGATATGGCCAAAGGCAATTGCAACAATGCAATTGCAATTGCAGCAGAGGAGAAACAACGACAACTCTAACGGCATTCAATAAATCACTAAACACTTGAATGACGCTGCCAATGCAACTTGCAACACATTGCATACAGGCAGCAGTAGCAGCAACACCAACACTGCACACCAACAGCAGCAGCAGCAGCAGCATCAGCAGTACGAAGGGAGGTTTAACGGAAACGGATGCCCCCAGGATCCTAAAGGCAAAGCAGCAGGCATCATAATTCAAAATTGAAATTGCAACAATCAATTGCAACAACATGCAACAAATCGTTGGTAGCCTGGTAGCCTAATCACTGCATGTCCAGTAGTCCCCAAGGGTGCGGGTTGGGGTCTTGGAAGTTTTCGGACAAGAAGGGGCTCAGCTTGCCGCACCCTATTGCCCTGACATATAAATCTTAGTTGGAGTCGCCGTTCGGCAAAGATGATGGCCAGAAATGGCAGAGAAAGTGCGGAAGGCCACTTAAGGCACACAGGCGAGAGGCATGGTTAAGGGGGGGATAGCCCGGAGGACAAAGTTCAATTGTTCGAGTCGGCAGGTCTCCTGATGTTGATGATGATGATGCAGGAGCTTTGGTTAGTTAATCTGATTCGGTTTGGTAAAATCTAAAGATACCCTACGCCTTAGATTTAAAGAAGATTCAAATTTAATAAGTAACTATTAAAGTAAAAGAAAAATGCAATTAAATTCAATTTAAGTTAGAGATTGGGTTAAGGCTATGGTTAAGGTTTCTAACTGGTCCTTAACACCTAAGCTAGCTTTCAAATTTATATGAATTTCATTTCCATTTAAAAAGGCAACTCACAAAGGGCTCTTTACAATCTCACTCTACCAGTCTAAGGAGGTAAATAAAATAAAATGTGACAACTGGAGCCGACCAAGAATTTATTTACTTTAATTTTTATTCAACTAAAATGCAACCCTCTAGTTAGTCCCATGTCTGCAATTAGTCCAGATTTACATGACAAAGGCTTAGAATTTCTTCCCTTTTTTTTTTTTTTTGAAATTTTCCCCATCTTAAAAGAAAGTGCTGGCAGTTGCAGGTGCTTTGCCAATGAACCGCAGGGTATAATTAGTGCTGTACTTGGCTGCTAATCTGTGATTTTCCAAATTGTTTCGAAAGTGTCATAAATCAATGAAATACCAATAAGTCGTCGTCGTCGTCGTCGTTGTCCTGCTGCTGCTCTTCCTGCTGTTTTGCTCCTTCTGCTTCTGATGCTGCTGTTGCTGCTGCCGTTTGCAATTGTTCGAAAATGCAAATTTCGCAAAAGGATATGCCCATGCATAAATGCTGTGCCGCTGGGAAGGACTTGCCAAAGGAGCCCCATTGCAACGACAGCAGCCAGAAGCCAGACACGAAGCAAACATATTTCATGCAGTCTCAATTGGAATTCTAAATCAATCAGATTGAGACGACGCCGGCTCCACTCAGCTAACAGCTAACCAGTTCGGTTCTGTGCCGTTAGGCACCGTTCTTAAACTGTGAGAAAATGTTGAAAGAAGAAAAAAAAAGCAATTTTAAATACGAAATCTTAATCTTGTTCTGTAATATCTCAAGGAAATATCTTGTTAAAATCGAAATATTTAACAGTGTTAAATACATTTTTGAGAGAAATATATAAAAATATTAAAGAAAACCTTTAAAACTTGTCAATATATTTATCTAATTCATAAGCCATGTACAAATCAAATAAACTCTGCAATAAATCGGCATATTTTATTCCACAAATTTTCATGAACATTTCGCCCAGTGTATGAAATTCGTAGGACTCTGTGCATTAAGTAAGACACAAATCATAATCGTATGCGTGGGATGGGTGGTGGGGGAATACCGGGGCGAAGGAACGGTTATATATATCTAGGTGCCAGCTGGGCAAGGATCTCTGGTTTGTCCTCTCGTCCTCGTCCTCATTTCTCGTCCTGTTAGGAAATGCAAAATTTCAAATATGAATTGAACTGATATATTAATGGCCACTTGAGTTGCACTCCTCAGATTCTGTGGACGTTTGTCAGCCAAAAGTAACTGCAGTTTCCTGGGGGAAATTTTGGGGGAACTGTGGGCTGCAATGAGTGGGAGGGGGGAGGTGGTTGTATAACCTGCTCGGTGTTGGCATTTATAAATCAAAGTTTTGGGCCAACAACCTGCAAACACACACCGAAGGACACTTTGCATCCGTGTATCTTTGAATCTGTGCTTGTGTAATTGCCAGGACCTGGACTGCATCCTGTTTTTGTTGGCGGCGGGGGACGGGGGGGTTTGGGGAAGGACCTGGATAGAAGGAGGTCTTTGGGCTTATGGTAAAGGGAGAAGAGTGGCATGCCACAATTGCAGCAACTTATCTCTCGCCTGCCCATATAAATAATGACAAGCACGACGACAAATAATAACCAAACGCACACAGGACATGCCACAGGACAATAGGCCTGGGGGAGAAAAATAGGGTCGAGGTAAAGGACGGCAACGGCGGTCACTGTCTGTGAGTGAGTGTGCATAATATGAAAATTTATGTGCGGAAAGGATTGAAAATAAATTTATGAATTATATTGGTTAGAAAATTGCATCTACTCAAGGATATCCTTAATGTCTCCAGGATATGCATGCGTTCAGCTTAGCTTGCCTTGCCCCATTGTTTTTCGAGCTATCTGTTACATTCAACAATGTCCTGATTCAATTTATTGCTTGTTTGATTTGCATTCTAACCGGAGACACTCGCCAGATTTGTGCCTGTGTAGCTACCAAAAATATATATATATGGAATAAAGGACGAACCTTTATGGCATTTCCTCAATGATAACAGCTGCAATTTGCGCCAAAGTGCTTTTCGAATCATCATTGGCAAAAAAAAAAAAAAAAAAAAAAACACGCAGCCAGGCGGCTTATCGTAAAAATCCAATAAAAGTGGGCCACAGACTTCGGTTTGGGGACTTTTATGATTTTTCCCCTGCTTTTTTTTTTGACATTCGGTAGTTTATGACTGTGTTTTAGTTTCTTGCTACACAGAAAGAAAAATCTTAGTAATAAAAGTAACATAAAAAAATATTAAATAAATATATTTTTAAAGGGCTACATGGATTAACATCTTTTTGTCGGCTGAATATTATGAAATATAAATTACAAAAAGTTCTGTGTAAAAACATAATCTTTTTCTGTGTTGCAAATATGTCAAAGTTCAGTTACATGATTCGATGGGGGATTTTTGCGTGAGGTAAAAGGAACTGGTCATAAAACTTTCCCGACACGTTTATGCTTATCTAGATTGTGGAATCTGAAATCTCAATGCCAATACAAATCTACCATATATATATATTATATATCCACATCCTGTGGCAGTTCATCAAATGCCTGACGACAAGTCACGAGTTCCGCAATCTGGAGTGGCTTATGGCATTAGTTATTATTCGGTGGTGGTTGCTCTTAAAGGGACATCAATTCGTTGAGATACATTTCATTAGTCGAGCATCAAAAGCGCTTCTTTTTTTTTGGGGGGGGTTTTGGAACGTGCTTAGTGTGTGTTGCTTAGGGACTAGTTGAAAATATAAATCAAATAATACACGGATATTATTTGTGAAAAATTCTACTTAATACTTAATCTAGTTTGTTGTGATGTTTTAAGAGTAATTTCAGTCTTAGGTAATTTCAAATCAATAATTTATAAGAAAACTGCATTTACAAAAAGAAGATTTATTTAAAAACTTAATTAAAATGTATCCGCGACCTAGACCCTATATAAACTGCAACCAATATACAGTTTTCGAATCGAAAAACAGCTTCAGTGCACATGATAATTGCTGACCAGTTGAAATAATATTATTACAAAATCCACACCTCAATTAGAAATATAATGTGACATACCAATTACGTGAGCAATTACAGAGGTACCTCTGTACCTCCATATATATATTTGTTTAAAATCGGGTAAACAAAATCTGGGTCCATAAAAGCGCCGTATTCGAGGCCAATGTCATTCATTCAACATCAAGATGCGTTTCTATCTGCTGTTATTTTTGGCCCTGAGCTTCTGTCTGCTGGTAAGTAAAATTACAGATATTTCTATATATTCTATATATACATTTTATACACCTTATTTTTCTAGCAATCCTCCATGGCTGGAGTGAATTTGGTGCACGGCCTGGAGGCTGTTGGTCATCATCGCAACACCACTGGTTCACCACCACCCCGTGGTGCTCCGCCACCACCTCGCACAACCACCGCTAGCTCTTCCGGATAAGCAGATTGGTGAAAAAAAAATTGGAAAAATAAACTCCTGCGGCAACCTATTGACGAACCTTTGAAACAAACTTTAATGTTAGCATAAGATCTATGTAATTCCTTAAAAAAATACAAAAAAAATATTCCAGCAAAAAGGAAAGGAATTTTAATTAATTAAATGTATTAAGATATATGTAAAAATATTTAGTTATTACAAATATTTGGTTTTGAAAACAAAGATTAGTAATAAATAAATATCGAAGTAGATTTTATACATTAGGTTGTCAAAAAAGTCTTGCGGTATTTTCGCTTGTTGGCGCTGAAAGCGCGTAGTTCTGTTTTATTCGTCGCATCAGGTCGTACTATACCTTTTTGGAAAGCTCATTTCACGCGCTAACACGTGTTTGATTGATTGTCTTTTCTTTTAAATCGTTCGTGAGTTACAGTTACAAAATAAAGAGAAAATACGGCAAGTTTTACAGTACTACTACGATAAAGGCAAAAATGCATCTCAAGCCGCCAATAAAATTTGTGCAGTTTATGGACCCGATACAGTTTCCATTTCCACCGCACAACGATGGTATCAACGTCTTCGTTCTGGTGTGGAGATGGTCGAAGATGCGCCACGCTCCGAGTTTTTTGCCAGTAGGGAAGCGAGCTTCTTTGAGAGGGGCATTATGAAGTTGGCATCTCGTTGGGAACGCGTCATCGAACAAAACGGCGCATATTTGACTTGAATCGCATTATTGTAACCAATTTTATACCGCAAGACTTTTTTGACAAACTAATATATTTTCCAAACCAACCCAAACTTAAATTTATTAATAACAAATATTCCATTGTGTCAATTTTTAATGACTGATCTAAAATCTTCAACCCTTTGTTTAATTTTTATGAATGCATTTTTCACTTCCTAATCGATTTCGTCGGCATAAATCGGCATTAATTTGACAAAACTTTTGAGCTTATTAAATGAAATTATGGCTATCTCTGATGATGGGTAGTTCATAAAACCCATGGACACAAAGGTGAGGTTGCAATTTGTGATCTCATTTGTTGATACAGCATATCCAATTCTCCGCCGTCATTGTGGCCAATTGTGGGCATTGTGGCCTGCAAGAAGAGTGCGAACTATAAAAATGAATGGAACCGCCATGAAACACGATCAGTTGTTCGTTGAAGTTTCATAGCCGAGGATCACAATGAGGCTGTCTACATTATATATATTCATCCTGCTAATTACAGTGGAGTGTTTAATCCTTAGTGAAACCGCACCCATTGGTGATCATCCGAATCATGCCGGTTGTGTACGGATTACGATAATCAAGCGACCTTTGACCACGACAACAACGACAACTACAACAACCACTACGACCACAACAACTACGGCAGCAACTACAGTGGCAGCTGGTTAGAAAGGAAAAATTACTTCAAATTGATATAATTAAATACAGAAGATATGATTCTTTCTATAATTCTTAAAGTAAACCACGGCTAAGCTAAAAACTTTGTGTTATTTCTTAAATTAAATAACAGATTAACATCTACTATGATGATACGTAGTGGTAATCCAAAATATACAATCAGTTAATAAAATTAATATACATAAAATAACCAAGCCTTTTGTTAAACAGAAAGGGGTACAACATTCCACTCCACCATAACGTCGTATGGTAATCTTCTGTGAACCCTTTTGTAATCACTTCTGTAAGCCCGTATACACCACACTATCAAAATAAAAGGCATCCGAAATCATTGCACAGTAGACAGTAGAAATGCAATTTCAGCCACGCCCACTCCCCAAGGTGATGTAAAATGGGCTAGAAAGGCTGTAAAAGTCCACCGCACAATGCACAAACGAAGCTGCCGAATATAATTAAATATTTTATCGCATAAAAGTGCCAAAAATGAAACGACAACAAGAAAATGAGCAGCCGGCATGCGTTTTCCATCTGGCTCCTCTAACTATTGTGTTTTGTCTACACTGAGAAAAAAACAAACAAATATATAACAAATATTTCAAGGCATTTTGATAAGATTTTTAAGGATTTTTAAGATATTGATAATGACATAGTAAATAATATATTACATAGTTCTTTTTATGAGCTATATTTGATATATCTATTAAGATAAAAATTCCGATTTCGTTAGGTATACTTATTTTAATACATATATGCGTTGGTGCGCAGGTAGAGGCCGCCTTGCACACTTTTCTAAACCTCCATCCTTTTAACCCCTTTCGGCGTACTTCTAATTCTGTAAGCTGACATTGTTTTGGCAGGAAAAAGATTGAGGGGGAAACCAAGGATGGGGATTTTGTGGAGAAAACACATGTTCCCCGCAAACAATAAACCCGCAGCTCGGCGCCCCTCTTTTTCGACCACTGCATTTCTTGGGTCTCTTTTAGATGAAATCTTTTGGTCAACAACAACAACAGGAACAACATCAGTGGGCCATTGTTCTCGCCTTCCATTTTGTAGTGGCTGCTTTTTTCAACAATTTCCATATAAATTTTAATTATAATTTTTCTATGCTCATTTTCATGAAAACAATCAAAAATTACTTTTGTGCCTGGCTCCCTCCTGACACCCCCCTCTGCTCCAACGAAAAAAGAAGGTAGAGGTGAGTTGAGGGTTTAAGGGCTGAGGTTGGCCAAATGCAAATTGTCACTGGCATTTATATAGCCAACAGGCATCTGAAAACTGTGAAAATTAAGAAAAGGAACTACATATGCGAAAGGTTTGACTTTTGGGGAAATTCTGGGAATAACAATACTCTTTTTTACTCTTTTTTGAATTTTAATAAATGCAAGTTATTTAGTATTTATTGTTAAAAAAAAATCAAATGATCAATAAAATTTAATACAAAATAATTAAAGAATGAATTTAGAGTTGAATTAGAAACTAAAAAAAAGATATACTAATTTGGAAATGCAATAATAGATTTTACAAAGACTTTACTTTTTAGTATAACCTTTTTTTTGAGAATATTATAAACAAAAGGGTAATATGCTGCAGAAAGGGATAGATAGAGAGAGAGAGTGGGCAAATTATGTTTGAGGATAATAAGTAACACAAAAGCAACACGGCGACATAAACAAGTTAACAGAGCGAGGAAGTTTGCTGGCTTTTGTAGTTGGCAGTTTGGCACGTTAGCGCTGCCAGCTTCCGTTTCCTGCCGTGGCCAAAAAACAATCCACCCATATGACAACTGTCGCTGTTACCCCTGCACTGACCTCTGGCCCCTTAACCCTTAAACCGCTAGCTCCGTTAACCCCTGTCACTGGCCATGCATACAGCATAGTTTTTGAATATGCCGCGAGGTGGCGCACCTGTTCCAACTCCGCTTTTGTCCAAAAAAAAAAAAAACCTAAAAATCCACACAGTCCGGAAACTGTCATTATGCATTCTGATGACATTTTCGCCGACGTCTCTCTCTCTTTTGTGCAAAATTATTTTTGCAGTCGGCTAATTAAGAGACACAAAATTTGGGAGTGGTTAGCCAGTTCTTTCTTTTAACTAGATATATACTTATATATATCATCTATAAAAAAAAAAAACTTGGGGTCAAGTAAATTAATATATATTCATATATATATATTGTAAAACTGTAATTTTGTTAGTTTGAGGCCAAAAACTAATTTCGCATACATTTGTCAGCTCATTAACAATTCAATTTGCTGCATAAACGACCTAAACATACAAATAATGTTGCGGGGTTTTTTTGGTGACCCCAACAAAATAGTTGGGCACACTCGGATGCAGACTGACCACACATGAAAAGCAGTAAATATTCAATTAACGGCACAGGGTTAAACTAATGTGAAAACGGAACCCTTTGGGTTTTTCCGCCCTCTACCCAATCCAACTTATAAACAGAATCCCAACCCAAACCATTTGACCTTGGCCAGACGGAGTACACAGAGCCCAATCATTTGTGCCAGGCACTTGAAAGCAGAACCCCCAACTCAAAACTGGGGGATTTCTCTAGTTCTGATCCTTTTTTTTTTTTATATATATATAGGGATAGGGGGCATAGTGCATAGTAGCCAAAGGAAAAGTCTTATAAAATATTTAATATCGTTAGTATAAGCCTTTGGAGTACTTTATAAGCTTTTGGAAATAAATCTTCGAAATAAATATTTTATTTGAATTCTTATAATATGGCTGGTCTAGTTAGTAGTTCTTCCAAGAAACGTTTTATTGAATTAATAAATAATCATCGCAATTTTTCAGAATATTGTTTACTCATTCATTGAATTCTCAACTTTTCCAAATTGCCTTACTCAATAAGAGTATTGAAATTGTCGCTTTTATAGCTCAAATTTCCTTACCCATTTTTTTTTTGTGATTTTCCTTCTTTTGGGCAGCTGGCGCTTTGATTTGTCGGGTCGGGTTACATGTGCCCAATCTCCCCGCCCCTTTTTTCCAGTCCTGAACCATAACTGCGGGCATTTTTCTAATTACAGAGCAAAGCAACGCAGAAAACTGCTTTGAACCCATTTCGCACAGGATACAGGAACCCAAATAATTATGAATTGTGTTTTATTTTAAATATTTGCTAAGCTACCAAAAGGAACATTGCCAGGATGATGCCGGTCAGCCTTCTCAAACTCCTCAGAAACTGCCATCTAAATTCCCCTTCACGTTTTTGTCTCCTGTTTATTGCTGGTCTTTTGTCCAGAATCTGGAATCACTGATCGGCGATGGCGACGTCTCTCTACCCAACGTCTCACAAATGGTGTAAGCAGACGGGTGTCCACTCCATCCAAATCTGATTCCCGTAGAAGAAGACTCGTAACAAGGGCCACTATAATGGTAACCAAAGCTCCGAAGAGAGTGAAATATAGATACGAGATGCGGTACAGCTGGAAAGGTGCGCTAGGACTGGAACTTAACAGAAACAGAAAGTTTTTTTTTTGGATCTATTCAGTATAAAAAATGTTTATTGCTTACCTAACAGGGCCATCGAAGGCCAGACTGGCAAACTCCCGCGGTTCTCCAGCAAAAGTATAATTGCAGCCCATCGTGGAATAGGGTTTCCTCTTATAGACAAGATCGCCGGTGACCAGATCCCGCTGGGCACTCACACACATCCAGGCCATAACAATTAATGAACTAAATCCTCCAAGTAAAGCACCATTCGAATTAACCCATGGCAACATAACTCCGGCGGTAAATATACCCAAAAGTGGACCATTTGCCACCGATGAAAGGGTTATGGTAAGTTGTAGAACTGCACCCAATTTCTCGACAGCAAAAACGAGTGCAACGAAAATAATACCAAATATCACGACCACACTACGCATTACAAAGGCAGTTTGCCTTTCGCTAAGTGGACTCTTTCTGAAAGTTTTAACAAAATCTTCCAAAACCACAGCCGACAGAGAATTCAATCCGGTAGATAATGAAGATAGGGCCGCACTGAATACACCAGCAACAAAAACTCCCGGCAAACCAGGATAGGCACCCAATGTATCCATCACCAAAAGTGGCAAAAGCTGATCATTCCTCTGAGCCAATTTTGTTTCCAAGGGATCACATTGCGCATAAGTGGCATAAATCAAAAGACCCGTATAGCCACAGATCATTAAGAAGGCCAAAACACCAGCTATAAAAGTCCATATGGCAATCCGTGCATCTCGCAGCGTTGGCAGTGATAAATATCTCTGTATCATATTCTGACTAATCGCATTCGATTTAAGCCAATGGGCTACACCGCCCAAAACCAAGGAATAAAACGTATATCTTTCGCTCAGGTCCGTACTAAAATTTGGTCTCTCCAAGCGTGCTGTTTCCTTGGCCCTTTGCCATACAACTCCAGGTCCGCCAATGTCCAATGTTCCCTTGATCAAAACCAAAGCCATTGCTCCGAACATAATCAATGTTTGGATGACATCCGTCCAAACCACCGCCTTCAGGCCTCCAATGCATGTGTAGAAAATGCAAACTACACAAACAATGGGTGTCACTATATGGATATTAACTCCGGTTGCCTGATTGAAAGCTATAGCCGGTACATAAATCACAATTGGTAGCCAAAGAAGCTGGGAATATAACAAAAAAAAAAGTATTTACAGATCTTCAGAATTATATAAACCAAAGTATTAACTCACCGATGCCACAATAAACATGACAGATCCAAAGAGTCTTAAGCTTCTGTTATATCGCTGTTCCAAATACTAAAAATTTCAAATATTTTAAACAACAAACTAACATAGTTGATATATAGAAACGCACCTTATAAGTTGATATCAAATTGAGTTCGTGGAAGACCGGAAGAAAGAAGTAATACATGCAAAAACCCATCAGGACCAGTGATCCCATAATGTACATATACTGTGCACCATAAAGATACACCTCTGTGGGAGTGCCCAGTAAAGTGATACCAGATATAAAGCTAAAAAAATGGAAATAATTTTTTACTTTTATCAACATACTTCTTCTTACATACTTAAACTAACAGTAAGTTAAAACTTATTTCTAAACCCTATTAAATAGAAATTTCTTTCTGTGTAGAACTGCCTTGACCTTCGGCAAAAGCCTCATACCGATCAACCATCATCATCTGTGGGAGATCAAAGTGCGTTTTATACAATTCAATTAGCACCAATGTCGTCGCAATTCCTTAGTGGTTTCGCCATATATTCCTTAGTCGTTGGATTTGCCGATTGAGGTACGGGGATTTCGGAGCTTTGGGGTTTGAGGGGATGATGAGAATGTAGATTCCTAGCTAGTCGTAGTCGCCAACAACGGCAAGCGTCGGCAATTTGAATGCCCTGCATATGTGCGGGTAACTCAAATTGGAGGCCCACGAACGTGGAAGCCAATTATTAATTATGAAACATTTTGATTTGGTGCGTTGATAGGAGTGAACTAAACGAGTATGCTAAAAATAAGCGACTGACTTAACGACTGAAAACTAGAGCAAACGGCGACTTACACTATGTCGGCAATGGTTTTTTTCTTTATATTTTTTATAATGCCTGAATAGATTTCAGAGAGAGTTAAGAAACTTGAATTAATTCTTTCTTAATCAGGCGCTTCTAGAAGAAAGGGGTTTCCCATTTGGTTTATATAATATTCTTAGCAAGTGGTTAAATTTGAGGGAAATTCTTTTGGTATATTTATCTTTTTAGGTTTTATTAATGAAATTTACAGTTCTAAAGGTAATAAATATGTTATGGCTTTTTGTGGATATTTTTCTTAATTTTTCAAATAGTAAACATATTGAATGTTTTCGATTTTTCGGCTTAATATCAATTAAGTTTCATAAGTTGCTAGGACCCCGCTCTCAGCTAAGCCTAGAAAACAAAATAATACTTTATAAGGCTGTCCTAAGGCCAGTATGGACATACGCGATGCAGCTCTGGGGAACAGCAAGCAATTCTAATATTGAAATCCTGCAAAGGTACCAAAATAAGGTCCTTCGTACCATAACAGGCGCACCTTGGTATATGACCAATTTCGACATCCACAAGGATCTCAAAATACCCACAGTCAAGGAGCTCATGACGGCAAATGCTGAAAAGTATATAAACAGGCTGCACGAACACGAAAACATACTAGCACTTGGCCTACTGGATAACGGTGACACCCACAGGCGGCTAAAAAGATTTCATATATTAGATCTGCCTCACAGAAACATGTAAAATTTGTAAAAATTTGCAAATATTATTTGTACTTGTATATATGGATTAGGCTCACTGGAGTCTAAACCATCCTGCTAGCTTATAAGTAATTAACAAATTTGCTTATTGTTTTCGTTTTATAAAACAGATGGCAAATTATAAAGTATAGTAATTAAAAAAAAAAAAAAAAAAAAAAAATTTTATTTTTATCTAAATGAGATTCTGCCCAAAAGTCTGCTATACAAGAATCAAAAAACTTTTTGGCTTCTTACTCTAATAAATCTTCTAAAATTCTTTAAATTCTCACCTGGATATTAATGACATGGTGATGGGAAAGATTTTCATTTGCCTGCCACCCACCAAATAGGAGGCAGCACTGTTAGCCGCCTCTTCGGCACCATGATCTTTATGTTTCCTGGACTCCCTACGCAGTTGAAGGCAGAAATAGATTCCGATTACGGCACAAATGGCCAACATTAAGCAAAAAACCAAATAATCCAGCCATCCAAAGCTCTGAAGACTGGCCCTCAGCTCGTCCACGTGCATTTTCCCGGAACTTTTTTCGAACTCAACTCACACACAAACAAAAAAAAAAATAAGACAAACGTGAGAAAAGCGCACCGATCGCACCGCTCGAAGGCACGCATCAGAGGTGACTGGTGGTTGGGATTTTGGTTTTCAGATTTCAGATGACAGTGAGATGGAAGTGCAATTGTGCTGTTGCCACACACACCGACTATTATTGTTTTATATTTTTATTAATGATATTATGACACACACACACAGACACTCAACTAACGCCGAGATCGTCGTCACTTTTCGCGTGGCAGCTGCGATGGCGACTGAAAGTTTTGCTTAGATCTGGAGCAACAGCTGACAGTCGGCTGGCTGGACCAGCTGATTTTTGATTTGCACCAACAACCCCAACCCCTAAAAATCCATAACCACCCACTTGGCTAATTGAGTCAGTGGTTGTACAGCAAATTGAGTCGCCAGCATGGCACTTAAGTCAACGCATTGTCTTTGCCTTGGAGAATTCAAAAATCGAGGGACTTAGAAAGCAAATAATTTACACGTAAAAAAAATAAATAAATATTTTTATATAAATTATAGAAAAACAAAAAATAACAAATGTGATCTATACTCTTTTCCAAAAATTTCATACATATCCAAAAGTATTCCTTATTTTCTTCATTATTGGTAAACATCCTAAAAGACTAGATTTATCTTTACTCTTTTTTAATCTTTTTTTTTTTGGGTATTTTATTTGGGTTTCTTCTGCACAAATTTGTTTCTGTGTTTCTGGGGTGCGACTGTGTAAATTAACTTGATTAGATTTAGTCGGCAATGTGTGACTGCCTGTCTGCCCCCTGCCATCGCACTACAATTTTCCATAAAAACGATCAGCAGTGTTGGATTTGCTGTCTCGGATTTGCTTATGGAAGCTGCGGGTGTAAGACGATGCAAAGACGATAAGATTTTGGAATTTTTCTTTTTAGTTTTGTTCCAAGAATGAATTAATTTTTTGGAAAAAAAAGATAAGTTATATAGTACGTTAATCTTGCGTTAAATATTTTATTATCCACAGAAAAAAGAAGAAAAAAAATATACACACAAAAAAAATAAACTGCAGAACTGCTAAACACAATTTAGTAGACCGAGCCAACTAAGTTTATATCCCAAAATTAAGCCTGTAGATCTTCAGGCCAAATATTGTTGGCATTTATATTGCCGGGACTAAATCCTGGGAATTAAATAAAAATTATAGATACCTAGATCATATATTTACTTTAAATTATAAGCTTACCAGGAGTAGCTCCACTCATGGCCAGGATCGAACTGGTCAACTCCTTGATAGTTTTCTCCATTTCACCAAATTTTGCCAAATCATCGGCCGAAGGAGCAGCCCAACATCTCTGACCCATAAATGGGACCAAAGTTAGTACCAAAAAAACAAAAAATGTATAATTCATGGCTTGGATTGTGAGCCAACTGTGTAGTGATATGGGAGAAGTAACCTGTTTTATAGACCCATTATTATCAAGATATTTTCATGGTCGATTACTGGACTTAAAAGTTTCAGTCGTTATGCTTCAATACTTGCCAAATGACCAGTAACCGATTTTTATCTCAGCTTAATATGTTGAACATCATTTGACCTGACTATGATGTTCAAATTTTCGATACCTTAAATAATTATTTGTTATCGCCAAATATTTTTTAAGGACTTAATAACTAAGCAATTTGTGTTTTTAAAAGAGAAATATATTTCTACATGCTTATTTAACCATTATTATTATCGAGAAAATCGAGTATTTTTGTAAAAATTTTAATTCTTAGCAGATATGCATTCAAAATGCAATTTTACAATTTTTGACTTTATCGCAAGCCCTTTATCAAAATTGCGAATTGGTTTCTCCTATTTTCTCCCAAAAACAAAAGTATTTTGTCAATAACTAAGCCAGTAATGGTCAGAATATGGAATGCCGTACCTCGTTGTAATCGTTATTAAATTTCCAAGAAAACTGCTTTCACAGTTAAAAATCTTAATTTTTGGCCTTTTTTTGTATCAAAAGTTGTTGATGTTACCTCTTAATAAAAATCTGGTTTCCGAAATCTGGTTTCTACTCACTTTTCTTCGAAATAACAGAATTTTGTTAATATTATTTCTGACCATTTCGTAATTAATAAAATTGAATGTTCTTTATAACATATATTTTCTGAGCTAAAAAAAAATCTTCAGTTTTCAGCTTCAGCTGTAGCAAAAAGAGTCTGCACTTTAGTGGTTATCGAAGCATAAAATGAGCAGCAAGTGCCACTACACATACAGCTGGAGACACACTCACACAAATGTACCACCAGGATACATACATATATACACACAGGCAAATCAGAATCAAAAATTATATACGTTTTACACCTTGAAAAGGCATTGCAGTTTGGGTACGCAGTAAATTCACACCACTTGCCAAATGCGCAAGATGTTCTTAGTTAGGGTTTTGTTTTCACATTAAAAAATTATAAAAATAATTCGGCTTTTTAAAAATATTTAAAAAAGATTAAAATGTTTAATTTGAAGATTTTGTTTCAATACTTAACATAAGAAGGTTGATTTTTTATATTGATAGATATATTTTACTTATGTTTTTCTGTTTTTATAAGCCATAAACCATTGAGTTCGTCTACTACTCTGCAATCTCTATGTGTGCGAATGCCAGTATATCTATCTTTTTTTTTAATATTTCGCTGGCTGATTTTTCTCTCGCATTTCTTGTTTATTTATATGTATGTTCTTTTTTTTGCAATGCAGCAGCGTCAACGGCAAATTAATTAATTCCAGTGGAGCAATTTTTCAAGAAAAAGCCCTTTTCCCATACGAACACATACTCATATATATATATTCGTCCCCCACTTTTGGCGGGCCACTCAAAACCGTTTCGCAGGTGTTGTAATATTATTTGGAATTATGTTGGAATTTCTTGTTTTCTTTGCGCCCCGTGTGAGTGTGTGTTTTTTTCGTGCCTGCTGCTCGGGAAATGCCATGAAAATTATTTGCTTTTTAATTTTGTTTCAAGTTGCATATGTCTCTCTGTAAATATATGTGTGTATAAGTGTGTTCGTTGTTTATAGCTAACTTTACAGTTGAGAAAGCATTTGTTAAGTGGTTTTAATTAGTTGCCCCCTCACTTTCCCACACCCCCGATTTTTCCTAAGCCTCTTTTGGCCGTGCTACCTGTGATTGCATATCCTGCCGCCAAATTTTAACTGATGTGTGATATAAACTTATACGAATATACCATATTTTTGTAGTTAACAATCTTTTTAAAAATGTTTCCTTAAAATCTCTTAAGCCAAAAGAAGGCCTGTGTATGGAGGTAGTGAACCAGTCAACCCACTCAGTTGATTTTTTAACCTTACCTGAACGCAAATAAGTCTGCAACAATTTGGAAATGGAAATGGAAACACTCCTTGCCACAGTGACACTCAACATATGCAAATGTCTACCACTACCACCATCACCATCAGCGTCTTAAAAACAAAAACGCCCTTCTAAAAAAAATTCCATCCCCCCCATTACTTTTTGTTTTTTTTTTTTTAGCGAGCCACTGTCATTCACACTTCGGTCATCGTCACTGGGAAAGGCATGTAATGGGTGCTGCCATTTACAATATTTATCAAGTGCGCGAAACACACCCAAAAACTGGGATAGCGATTAGCTAGCTAGCTGGTGGTACTGAAAATGGAAAGTGGAAAATAGGGAAATGAGGATATGGAGAAACTGGGAGCAGGACTCATATATTATGGGCTCTGGCATCGTCATCGGGCCTATGCGTGGCCCCTAATTACATCGCATTGTCATAACAAAATTGAGCGCATTTGACACGCAATTGCTCCACAGTTGGCGGTCCACTAGAAGAAAAAATAGTTCTTAAACTTAGTTTCTACAACTATTATTAAAGTTATTTTATAAAACACTCTTCTTAAGATAAAGAATTTCTTATTTTCTTACTGTACCGTTTCCTATTTCGTGTTGTTTTTTCTGGAAAACATTTTTTTGGCTACATTTCTTATTAGCTTGATTTCTTTATTTTAGCTACTTTGGCTATTATTGTATAATTTTCAGATTTTTTTTAAACAAATGTATTTGTTAGACTTATTTTATGATATTTTCTTTCAGTTTCGACCACGATGACATGTGAAAAATGCCACCGAGGTCGGGTAGTCAGCACTCAGAAGTCAGGAGTCAGGGGTTGAAAGTCGAAGGGACTGTTGCATCAGCCCAACTAGATAAGAATTAATTGTTCAATGGCACGCATTGCACTAAATATTTGAATATATACATATATGTGTATACACCCGTTAGTTAGCTCTTCCCGTTAATCGGATAAAATTCATAATTATTGTTATTACTGTCATTTTTCTAATGACCCGCCCGCGCACCCAAATTGCGTGTACTTTTCTATTAAGATGAGCTATCAAACGCACTTTTTCGACTGCGCTTGACTTGTTTGTTTTATTTTCGTTTTGGTTTTTTTTTCTTTTTTTTTGTTAGCCAGGTTCATATTTCGACTAGGATTCCCAATTCCAGTGGACTTAATGTTAACCATCCCTCGGATCTTCGATGGCCACGCAACGTCGCACGCGTAAATTATGTAATTAAAATTCCACACCTTAATTCGGGCAATTTATTACACAAGCTTTTGACTAATTGGATAACGATCTTTAACTATGTCCACTAAATACAGACCCACGTATTATAGAGTTGGGGCAAAAATGGGATGGGGCGGAGGCGCTGATGTACTTATGAGTTCATAAACGATTGCATTCCCCGATAGAGCTGGCAATTAATTGAACTTTTACCAGAAGGTAGCTTTTGAAAGGTGTGGACTTTGGACTCAAAATAGAGGTGAGAAGTATTTTGGATAAGGTAACTACATTATGGAAATAAAATCTTTTAAAATTGTTTATTTAAGGAATTGGCATGCCAGCGTGCAAAAATTTATAGATAAAGTGCATTTTAATTTTTAAAAAAAGCCAGGGTACTGGCAGAACTGAAGACCGATCTAGCGATTTGTTGGAGTTGTAGCTGCGCTTGCCGATGGTGTAGGAGTTGTTGAGTTGCTTGCACTCGATTCTGTTGATCCGCCAGAGTTAGATCCATTGGAGTCGTCATTGTTGTTACTGCACAAAATAAAACTTGGAAAATATCTGCAGAAAAGTCTTGAAGGGCTGGGGTAGAACAGCTGCTGGATAATAAACAATATAATGAATAAATTTCAAAGAGTTTTTTGTTAACTTACAGCTGATGTTGTTGGGACTTGCGAACTGAAGAAGACAGCCAGGAATAGGCCAAGAATGGGTAAGAAAATCTTCATTTTGGCTTGGAAGTATTTGAACTGAATTTTTAAGTTCAGAAACTCAATATTTATAGGTAGAATTTCTTTAACTTTGCTTTTTCAACGATAAGCATTTACTTGAAGTCGTGTTCTTATAAAAATAGGAAATTTTAGTTCATTATCTTAATGAACATGAAATGAGTTTGCTCTACAAAACTCCATAACGAAACTGCAAAGAAACGTTCGCTTGATAGGTGTATTTTTGTTAGTGTATTTTCCAATAGGTAGCTATAAATTAGACAATAAAACAGAGTTGGACACGAATGTTATAGACAAGATCGAAGGTTGAGATTGGTAGTACAGTTTCCTAGTCGCAAATTTCCATTCTTATATCGCTTAGAAATCACGTTTCTGGCGCAGAGATGGCCCTCCACGAAATATGAGGTATACACGACCGACATAAAAAGAAATGACTATGATAATTTGTAAATATTTATCAAAATGGCATTTTTAATCCAATTTATCATCTCTCTTGTCCTTTAAAGAAGCACAACAAGTACTAAATGTTCCCTACGTCCGCATGATAGACTGGATAAGTACAGAGATATTATTTTTAGGAATTTTTGGAAATATTAGGTTGTCCAAAAAGTCTTGCGGTATTTTCGCTAGTTGGCGCTGAAAGCGCGTAGTTCTTGTTTTATTCGTCGAATCAGGTCGTACTATACCTTTTTGGAAAGCTCATTTCACGCGCTAACACGTGTTTGATTGATTGTCTTTTCGTTTTAGTCGTTCGTGAGTTAAAGCGTCGCAATCATGGAGATAAATAAATAGAAAATACGGCATATTTTACAGTACTACTACGATAAAGGCAAAAATGCATCTCAAGCCGCCAATACAATTTGTGCAGTTTATGGACCCGATACAGGTTCCATTTCCACCGCACAACGATGGTATCAACGTTTTCGTCCTGGTGTAGAGGTGGTCGAAGATGCGCCACGCTCCGAGTTTTTTGCCAAAAGGGAAGCGATCTTCTATGAGAGGGGCATTATGAAGTTGGCATCTCGTTGGGAAGGCGTCATCGAACAAAACGGCGCATATTTGACTTGAATCGCATTATTGTAACCATTTTTATACCGTAAGACTTCTTTGACAACCTAATATATAGTATGATTCTGTCGAATACTGGTACCTAATCCAGTTCAGTTTTCTTAGTTTGATCCTTGTGATTTTAGAACGAAATCATTTCCACACTTTAAGCTTAAGCCTAATACAGAAACAATATTACGATATTGACCAAAATATACCAAAAATATTTGATTTTTATTTTTGAATCTTCTTCGTGGAGGTACCACTAAATAATTTGATTGACTAAATTTTGTTTTGGGGCTGTCGAGCTTAATTAAGTTTTTGAAACGAATTAGAAAAGCATAAATAGGTTGATCACATAATTTAACTGTTGCCAAATCATGGATAGTTTGATCAAATAAATGGTTCTTTGAACTTCGGAGATGGAATACCGCTTATCAAAATCCCTTTAGGAGCTTATACATTCTGACTTGTGAAGACGATTATGAATTTCTTAAGCTACAAATTCTTTCGACTTCCATTGGTCTCACATTTTTGTTGCCTTCTTGGTCAACTTTTGAAAAACTTTTTTCCTTCTTTATTTTAAAAAAGGTTAAAATGTTTTCCTAAAATAAAACACGTCAAATATTTTTCAATGCTCGGTTATATATTTAAAGGCTGGCATGCAAAAGTATAAACTCAAACAGCTTTTTAGTGCAATAATCTAAATTCATTATTCTGGTCCGGTTGGTTTGATGTTCGGCTACTTTGTGTCATCAAAAAGTGCCTTGAAGACCATATTAGTTCTGGAAAATCAAACTTCGCTGAGCACCAGCGGTTGAATTGTTGCCCGCTGAAATGGTTGAATTCGAATTATCGGAAATGAGTAGAGCAAAATTGCAAAGTTCGCATATTTCTCCAAAGAATGGAATCGCACAGAAGATTTTCTCTTGCTGTTGCAGCAATTTTACAAAGTTTGCATTGCTAATACCCTAAAAAAAACTCAAATTATTAGTATATAGATGTAGGAAATATATAATATATATATTTTTAACTTACGAAAGATACGCTGGAGCACAAGAAAATATTGAAAAAGTAGTTGTTATTACAAAATTCGAGAGTCCGATTATAAATCGCTTGGACATCACACTAGATGGGGATAAGTTTTTATTAATTGAAGAATTTTCCAGGATATTTATATAAGGGATCTTACTACAGCAGCCGAAGTTTGAACGTTGCATAAAACGGCTACAAAAATGGCAAGAATTGCAATGGTAATCTTCATCTTGAATGTTGTCTTAAACTGATTTTGGAAACTTCTAAATGTTGTATTTATACTAAAAAATGGAGCAAATTGTTGGCTTACGTTTAAGTTTAAAAAAAAGTTGATGGGTTTAAAGTCGTGATCTTAATAAAAATCGTGAGAATAACATCTTTTCCAATAATAATAAATATCTGCAAACAAAGTCTTAGCGTAATACTAAATATGAAAAGAGAAATTGTAATTTATTTTTCTTATTATTGCTAAAAGATAATTTTTAATTAGTTATTTTTATTTGGCATTTTCATATTTTTGTGAATAACCAAAAACCACCACAATGACCTGACCAGTGGTCATAATTTCCATACAAAAAACTGACATTTTTTCTGGCCCCATACATTAAACACAAATTGCTCGCTGTTTTTTTATCACTCTTTTTTTTATTCACGTTCTGGTCAATAATTCGCAAAGCCATTGATGAAAATTAAAACACAAATCAAACGCGGCGGCATATAGCAATTTCCATCATTAAAGCGGGCAATTGAATGAGTCAACAGAGTCGACAGTTAAATGGTAAAGGTGAGAAGTGGGCGGTGGTGGGTATGACGCCGTGGGCTAAAAATAAAACGCTATATACTATATACCCGTATACACTACACTTATACATAGTGTGTTAAGCAGCAGGGTCAACGAAGCTTTTTCCGTACGCGGCGCACGTTGGGCCTTATTTAGCCGATTTGCTGGGCTCAATACGCTGGTGGTTTTGCTATTTCAGTTCGTATTCGCCGCTCAACGTAAAATGTTGTGAGGCATTTGAAACCCAAAAACAAAAACATACTCACTACTTATTTACCAATTTCTGGTCATGGCTTTTGTCGTCAAAGTATTGGCCATTTTTGTAATGGCAACCATTTTCTTGCACGTGGTAAGTGGAAAATCAATAAATTTGCTATTTCTGTGAAAAATTATAATGGCGAAAAGACAAATTATGTGGATTTGAAACAAATTTTATATATAAAACAGGCCCTTGCATTGGAGTTAATGGATGACCTCGGTTTTGGAAACGAAGATGAAGTTCATCATTTGGACGAGGAGTCCTCTGCCGAGGTGCCTGGAATTTTAACTGGTTATACCAGGGATACGATTGCCCATTTCAATCCTCGGAAAGCTGATGCAGGCTTTCGACAATTGTGGGAACGAGTTCCTCCTCTACAAAAGGTCGATGTAATTAAGAGAAGATAGAGGAACCTATTCATAGCAAGAATTATTAATTTTAAGTCGTGACCAAATAATCAAGTTAATGTCAGTATAATTAATAGATTTTTTTTTGACAAAGTATTTATTAAATTGATATATAAATATTTATAAATATAATCAAATCAGCGTAAAAAGCAACCTAACAAGCATTTCATTTTTAAATTATAGACCAGAAAAACTATTTTTACATGATGAAATTCTACTTTTGCCTTGCATTTTATAAGAAACCATTATTGTATGGTATAGGAACGATTCCCCTCGAGGTTTTTTTTTGGGTCAAACCTTTTTGTTTTTGCTTTTGGCCTGGGGGGCCCAAAGCAACATCCTCCCACCAATAACCCACCCAACTTAGTGGTTTAGGTCTCCCCGTTTTTTAAAAACCAAAGCAACCTTCAACCCAAGTAGTTTCCTAAGGAAAGTAATAAAAAAAAAAAAAAAAAATTTTTAAAAGGTGGAAAAAAGCGGCCCTCCTTAGGTTAAACTTTTTTATTTGCATTATGTTTTAACCAATGGATGGAGATAGCCAAAAAAAAAAAAAAAAAATGAGACCAACTCTGTTTCTGTTTCGGATGTTTTTATCCCATTTTTTTGTTTTTTTTTTCGCTGAATGTTTCTTCTTTGTTTTGTAGAAAAACGCACAAGTTTTATGGTAGCATAAAAGTTTTTGTGGGTAAAACTTTGCACTTGTCTTGCCGAAAGGGTTTTACAATGATGCTATATGCGACATGCCACCCCGCCGAACTGTCCAAGTGGGCGTGACGACAGCACTTAATATTTCAGGCATATCATTAGGCGACCAGAATATGCCTAGAAACTGATTTTCGCTAAGGGTAGGATGAGTGCTTTTTATAAACACTTTTTTTTTTGGTCGGCCAGAATGTGACACTCAGTCAGTCAGTTAAATAGCGCGGTTACTTAACCCCGAGAACCCCAGAAAAGCAACTTTCGGCTGACCACTCTGAAATGACTAGCATGCATTATCATTAAAATAAATTATTAGAGTCCAGTGTGGCCACAAAATAAAACGCATTTTGCACGTTTTGTGTGCGAGAATTTTTTACACGATTTTTACAACTTTTTTTGCGGTTGCGCTAAGTACACAAAAACATTTTGGCTGCAAAATGGGATGAGGATGTTGTATAAGGGAGAAGATGTCCTTTGTTGAAGATAAAAAGTCAAGTTGAATGCGTTTAGAGTTAGGATGTAGCATTTATTTAACCCACAAGACGCACACAAGAAATAACTTTGCATACTTTTAGGCAGCAGAAGCTCATGTTAAATACTAATGCAAGAAAGAAGGGTCTTTTTCCTCCTCCCTCCACCCTCCACCCACCACATCACCCAAAAAAAAAAAAGACAATGAAAACGGAGTAGAAAGTGCGCTAGAAGCCACGTAATTTCTCAAGTAACCTAACCACGTAAAGCATAAAATATTTGCCTTTGAGTCGGGGGCAAAAGTATGTCCAAGAAGTTCCCCAGTTTGCCGCAAAAACAAGTTGCAAGCCGCTCATTTGAATACCCAGCTACGAACTCTTTCTCTTGGACATGCAAACAACTTTGACCACGCATTTGTTGGAGGCTGTAGATGCAAGTGCTAAACGAAATATCACGGTGATTAAACTTTTTAATACCCTAAAAGAAGAAAAATTTGCTTTGGTTTAGTTTAATTTTATAAAATACAAAACCAAAAGCGAGGACACTTTCTCATCACAATAATATAAGTTTGTTATCAAAATAGTTTCAAAATATTAAAAAACATAAAGTTTTAATTATCAAAAACTTAAATTTTAAATCTTACAAACCAAATATTTATTATATTTTGGTGTTAGTAAAGAGTGTGGAATTTTGAGAGTGGTGTTTAAGCCAAATTTCCATTCTTCAATATAAAAAATACTCTCAAATCCGTAATACCCATTATTGACGCTATAAAAAAATGTTCAAAATCAAAGGGAAAAATAGCTGGACGTAGGTGACGATACCAAAACAAGGGACAGAATAGCAACAGTCTCGGCAGAAGTCAGCCAGTTGACTGGCCACATGCTTCATGCTGCCAGGCACATGCAATTTGTAAGCCAAAGCGCATAATTTACAACGGGTAGTGCCCCGACTTCTTTGGTTCTGAGACACAACCAAAAAACTCAAGCCCCCAACCCTAAAAAACCAAAAACCATATTCACTGGCACCGTTTGCCGTCTTGGCCAATGAAGTGCCGGTTGCGGCCAGTACATCTTGGGTACACCCGATGGAGAATCATTCGAAGTTTTGGACCCAAGGAGATAACTAACACCGATTGTGGTTTCCCTCAAGAAAAGCAGTGCTTAAGTTCAGGCTCCAAGAGCTGTGATTAATAGCCTAAAGTAATAGTTAGAATAAGAATATTTAAGCGATGTTTTGATTTCGTTTTAAGTGCATAATCAGCTATTTACATTTTATATTAAACTACGTTTTTAGATTAATTTAAAGCGGATGATGATGAATGTATGTTAGAAATATTTATCCTAAAAACATTTTGAAAACTACTACTAAAACTGGAAATGTAAGTTTTCGACATTCACTCATTTGCATGCCAGGAAAATGCTTACTTTGGGAGCCTATCTAGCGACTTAGTCCTGAGCTTAGTTTTTCTTTCGTTTTTTTTTTTTTTTTTGGGAGGGATTCTGCGACCCTCGTGTTCTGGCGCAGCGAAAACTCTCGTGAAGAAGAGCCCAGGATTCGCGTGGGCTTAAGTGTCCTGGCCAAAAGGAGTGGCGAGTCAAGTGGTCTTGGTCATAAAAAGACAGGGGAAAATGTTAGTGGTAGTACGAGTAAGCGGTGTCCGCAAGAAAATAACTTGTAGCAAATTAAGTTTGTTAGTAATTAGAACACCACTAAGGACACCTGAGTGCCGGTTGAATTTATACTCGTGCCAGGGCCAAAAGGCAGGACAACAACACACAACAATTAAACTTGCCGCCTCTAATTCCACCTCCTTTTTCGGTTGCCGAGTCTTCGAGTCCTTCGTCCTTTCTCTCATGGCAAGTAAGGTAAAGTAACAAAAGTTCTCCAAGTCCAAGCCTGCCTTTGCCTTGTCGAAAATTCCTCAACTCGAAAGTTGCCAACTTTGATGTTGATGTCCAAGAGAAGACTGGAAAAGGAGTTGCATTCTTCGTTAGGGACGTGAAGAACAACCGTCAAGTGAATGCCTGGACATTGGCCAGTAGCATCCTTTAGCGCTTAACCCATTAATTACCATTAGAGTCTAAAATGCCAGCAGAGATTTTATAGCTTCGTAAATACGATGCAATTTTGATTCTACAAACAATTTGAACTCTTTTATGATTCATTTAGCGGTTTTATAAGACATTTACTTAACCTAAAAGCTAAATCTAAACATGATCTGATCGCTCTTTATCTAAAATTACCATTTTAAACAAGGCTTCAAGTTGTATTGCCAGTAATTTAATAGAGATATATACGCATATATAGGGGTTAACCCTGTAAGGCAAGGCCCACCCCTTGCAAATACTCAACGAGCACTGTGACCAAGTGGCAAAAGTTTGGCAGCTTAAGGAGCAGCAGAAAGCAGTTCAGTTGACCCAAGTACACAACGTTTCACCCTGGCGAACGAACAGGCACTTTGCGGCGTGCGTGGGACAGGTAAAAAAGGATCGGAAAAGTAGCCAGGAAGTCCTCTGTGGACAGGACACTAGCAGCAGGTTTTCAGGGTTTTTAGCAAAACAAAAAAAAAGAACAAAATGAGTACTCATATGTATACCATACCATACCATACCATACCACACACTTAAAAATGTTTACACATTTACCATAGATTGTGCAAATACGACAAGCTGCTTAATAATTTAATATCATCCTATTAAGGGTATCTTTTGAAAATGAATTTAGCTAAAATGCACAAACATCGTTAGACTTAAATTTCTAAAAGCCACACGTATATACATGGCGAATTTTCACTTTGACTTGTTCTTATCTAAGTAATAGTCGTCGATCCTCTATTATCTAAGAGTCGTCTCCAGTTTTCCCTATCCCGTATCAATATCCCTATCTAGACTTATTTCTCTGCTCCAACAGCACTTGCTTAGCCTCATTGATTTTAACCGCCAAATATGGTGTGCCATTGCGATCTGGATGATTGGCCAGGATGACACGTCGGTGGGCAGCTTGCATTCGGCCCGATGGTGCACTGAGACTGGAACCCAGTATTTGAGATGCTTTGCGGGCAGACATTCGTTCCTAAAAGTTAAAGATATTAAAGGATATTCTTTACAAATATAAATTTCAACTTAAACGGTTTCTACGACTTACCTGAAAGCCGCCGCTGTAAAAGCGTCTGGTTCCAATATTCCCCAAGCGTGACCATAGCTGAGCAAGCCGACTGGAGCTGTTGGGTGATCTAATAATGTGAGCGGCAAAGCCGCAGGCCATGGCTATACCCATCAAGTTTAACGAATTGCTAACAGATTGTGAGGAAGATTTACTGGTCTGCATTTAGAAACTGTATAATCGTTGCACGAATCGAAAAAATCAATAGTCAAATGTGGAAAATTTCAGAGATGACTAAAAAATCTTCTCTTACATTATAAAACGAAAGTATTTTCATATCTGAAATTTATAAAAATAAATCAAATTCTTCAATCACTCAAAAAAAATATACAACCTTTACCCTTTCCCTACTTGGGAACCAATCAAAATGGTCCCCTTTAGAGTTTTCTAAGAGCAATCAATTTAAGCCTTCTTAAACTTAATGTTTCCATAACGTAGATAAAAGGTTCAAAGCCCGGCCACACTTTCACTTTATTAACACCAAATTAATTTTGTCTCAAAACGAACACACGTTGCTACATATATATATATATATATATAATATATATACATATATGTGAAAGACAAAAACCCCCAAAATAGAGAGAGCTACACACATGAATACATTTCGTGCACAGTTGAGTGCAGCGATTGAATTTTAAACAAGAACGACAAATGCCGGCAATCAAGTCAAGTCAAGTCAAGGAGGAAAATGAACTTGGTAAGGAAACTCCAAGGCGACGGGTGCTATAATCAATATGCAGCAGTCAATAAGAAGGAGCAACAATTACACAGGACCTTTAGGAATCCGTAAGGATGTGCTTTTGGTAAGGGTTAGGAGGGGGAGGGGGGTGGCTTGCCTGCCCTATAGTTTTGCAATGTGCGTCGGTTAAATGATGTGTAATCGTCTTATGTGCACTCGAATGCCTTTTGGCTTCTAATATGGCTGGACCCCGGTCTATACTATACAACCAGCACCCGGACACTTCAACATACAAAGGATAACAGGGCAAGTTGAGGACAAAGGCCGGACCTGAGGACCCAAGATCCCCATAGTCCACACACACACACACACTTGCAAAAGAGAACTTTGCCATAGGCTGACCTCAAAATGCACAACGACACAAACTTTAATTTACAATCAATTCAGGCGTGAATAATAAACCACAAGAAACCAAACAGTGAGATTTCCCCGAGACGAAGTGAAAGTGTTGCCCTTTTGTCCTTTTCGTTTGAAAATTTAGTTACAACACACACAAACACACACACACACACAAACCCACACAACACCAAAAGTTTGCCAAGTTTTCGAGGCAAACAAACAAAACTCTAGAGTAGTAACTCCCGTACCCCTCTGGAATTTACCCCAAAAAACCGCAACACTTCCGCTTTTTCAAGCATCCTGTAGGACCTGTTCCTGCAGGACAGGAAATTCCTGCCAAGTGGTCCTCGGCTATCAATATTGTTTTCCTATTAAATTGATCATTGGTCAGTCAACAATTGCGGTCAGGTCCCTTTGTCCTTTTGACCACCACACAGTGTCAGTGCCCCGAAGGATATTAAAGTATCCCTGTAGAGTTTTACTGTACAAGTTAAATATTAAATCAGTAAGCTTAAATTTAATCTATTTTAAAGTATTATTGATTTTTCTATATTTTTTTTTATCTTTTAAGAAATTATTTCTTCCTGCTGCAACGAGAAATGTAGAAAAGCATCATAACCTTGGGTGTAATATATTTGTGGCATTCATTGCAATGTCAATCAATTTGAGGTCTCAAGTGAGCAAACAACAAACAGTTGCCTACTTACAGGCACATCAGGTTTGAAGACATCAAGGCAGGCATATAGATGGAGTAGTCAATCAGTCAGTTCCTGGTTCGCTGATCTGTAAGGCCTGTGATTCCTGTTAGCTTGCTTTCCCATTTGCTTCAACACCCACTGCAAATTAAATTCATTAGTCAACTTCCGGTTGGGAAATCTGGAAATGGGAATGGGATATGTATATGTACGTAGTTACCATGTGCTGCTGTTGGCTGCTGCTCTGCTGTCAATTCAGACGGATTTGAAGTCAACTCAATTTGAAATCAATAGTGTGTGAATAATCCTTTCACACCGACACCCACCAGGCACATGGTTTGTGTGCATCTAATATTACCCATCCCCCTTCTCTTCCAAGCCCCCCATATTTTGGAATGGGTCCTAGTACTGCATCTGGTGCCTGGGATTGTCTAGTCTGGATGGGTTGGATAAATGGCTGGATAGATGGATGGATGGATGGATGGATGGATGTGGGGGGACTAACTGACTAACTGGCTTCCCGTCCTGGCTGCTGGCCACTTGAAAACGTTTTTGCATTGATTGCACTTCATATCAGGCATCCAATCCAGTCAGTGATTCGTTCATTCATTCATGCATTCATTCTCTCGTTCAAGCAGGCCGTTTATTAATGCCACTCGCATATGTTGCATCGTCATTTTTTGGCTGGGCAGAGGAATCCAAATCCCAAACACAAGTAGACATGGCAACCAAAAAAGGCAAGCTATTAAACGATGACGACGATAAGAGTATTTAAGCAATTCAATGGCAGTTCAAAAACCACACACCGTAAAAGAAATGTTAACTTAAAAACCTAAAATCCTTTCATATTAGAATTTGTATCTAAAAAGCAGAATATGAAATATTTTATAAAATATTCCTAAGATCAGTTTATCAGATTAATAACAGCTCCGATTTTTTTTTGAGTGCAGCACCACCTGCGCTCTACCCCGCATTGCAGCTGCACCACTTAATCCCAGTCGAGTGGCAAGCAATGAGCTATGCATGCAATTCAAGTGCCACATCTGCAACTGCAACTGGAAATGCAACTGCAATTGCAGCTACTGCCTTCCGATATTCAGACAACGGCCAAAAAAAAAACAGCACAGTCCACGGGGGAAGCCCCAAAAATTTCAGTTGGTTTGTTATAGGATGGTGCTTCGAGGGGCATTCCCATACCCAATTTCCCATGTGGCACCACTTGGTATCTGTTTGTGTACGTAATTGTGCATAATTGAGTTGAGGCGGGCGGCCTCCATATCCAGATGATTTTGTTGTTGGTAGGGCAATTGAGATAAAGGAATAAAGGCAGGCGAGTAAATTCAGGTTTTCCAAAAATTATAATAGGTAGCTTAAAATGAATTTGTACAGATATGATTTTTTTATAGGATAAGCTAGCTTATAGAATGATAAAATACATCAAAGAGGTGGCTTTGCTATTCTAGTAAAAAATTTTAAACTAAAAATTATACATCTCGAAAGTTTAGTTTTCGTTCGGCATTCGTTTGAATAACACACATAAACCACTTCAATTGTGGATCATAAATATACAGCAGTTTGTTAAGAAAACAGGGCAATGGATGTGGATTGCAGTGGATCCCGTCGAACTATCCGGCGAACCTTAATTAAATGCTGCGAGCAACTACTCGACATAGTCCTAGCCATGACCTATGGAGGTAGTCAGTTTTTGCGACGTCTATGGGGGCTTAATGGTCGAGAACTTCCTCAAAATGATCCTAAAGAAAATGGTGATGGTTGGATGTTTATAAATCAACATAATCAACGCCATAATTCCAATTTGAGTGCCCAAAAGGAGGTGTTGGAATCAAGGAGTTCAGGTGCCGATGGTGATTTTCTTGGAATCGAGGGAAAATCCGAAACTCGGCCACTGGAACTAGTTAGCGTGGTTTGCGGATTTGCCAAGGACTCAATAATAAATCGGCGTGGAAAATTCGGTGAGGATGCCTGGTTTATGTCTTCCAATTCGGAAGCATACACTATGGGCGTGGCCGATGGCGTTGGCGGTTGGCGAAATTATGGCGTTGATCCTGGTAAATTTAGCATGTTCCTTATGCGATCCTGTGAAAGATTGTCGTGTTTAAAGGATTTTGAGCCGGAAAGACCGCACTTACTGCTAGAACGAGCCTATTGTGATCTTCTGAAGCAAGAGTCTCCCATTGTGGGCAGCTGTACTGCCTGTGTTTTGACTTTTAATAGAAGGAACAGTACCCTGTATACTGCTAATATAGGTGATAGTGGTTTTCTGGTGGTGCGATCCGGCTCTGTAGTTTGTCGATCCCAGGAACAGCAGCACTGCTTCAATACCCCCTATCAATTGGCCTCGCCACCGCCTGGTCATGACGTTAACGTAATATCCGATGGTCCAGATACTGTGGATAGAATCCAATTCCCAATGGAACTGGGCGACGTTATCCTTTTGGCCACCGATGGTTTATATGATAATGTACCGGAAAGTTTTCTCATCGAGGTCCTTACGGAAATGTCCGGCATTTCGGATCCTGTTCGTCTTCAAATGTTCGCCAATGCGCTGGCCTTCATGGCTCGAATTTTAAGTCTGAATCCTAAGCACGATTCTCCATTTAGCCAGAATGCCCGAAAAATGAATATCGAGTTATCGGGCGGAAAACCGGATGACATTACTGTCCTGTTAGCTACTATTGTTTAGTGGACTCAATACCCAACACCGGAGAAAATGGAATGAAGATTTTGAGGAATTATAGAGATAAGCAAATGAACAGCCCATTTCTTGCAGACTTTACTGACAAATGTTTAAGACAACCACAATCCCAATCATTTGCTAGTAACGCTGTTTGGAGAAGTTGGGCTTTAGCATCCAAAAAGAATCAGTTCTTATTTTATCCCTTGATTCTACGCCATTTCCTTCAGTCTGTCATCCAAGCCAATAATACTGCTCTTGGTTTTTAACTTTTATTCGAAGACATTGCAATGTATATACAAAAATCAGATATCTAAATTGTTTAAAGTGTAATAAAATCTTGGCTTAACTAAATACTATGGCTTTTATGTGAAAATTTTGAATTCATCAGGAATCAGGCATTTAACCAATACATAACTTGACAAATATTAATCGGTTCCAAATACAAACATTCTTATAATATATTATATAATGGTTATATTTTATGTTGAACCTTTTAATAGTCTCTTCCTTATAGTATCACTGCTTTTACATATTGTTTTTCTCTCAAAGAAACCCCGCTAAGTGTTCAATAAACCATGAACAAGTTGGGGAACAAAAATCTGTGGAAAATGTCAAGTGAGTGTCGTGGCCCTAATAAACTTAATAAAATTCTTCCATCTACGTGCACTCCTTGCACCGAAGTTCTTTGCTCCCTTTTTTCTCTCTGGTCCTGCCAATGTGTGTCGTGACATACGATATTTGAGTTTCGAGTTTAACTTTTACACCCGTTTCTTGTAGAGTGAAAGGGTATATTGTGTACGTTGAAAAGTATGTAACAGGTAGAAAAGAAGCGTTTCTCCGACCCTGTAAGGTATATATATTCTTAATCAGGATCAATAAGTCAAGTCGTTTAAGTCATGTCCGTCCGTATGTCCTTATGAACGCTGAGATCTCAGCAACTACAATATATACACGATTGGCAATAAGCATGCAGTTTCTTGAGGTACCTACGCTGTTTATTTCAGCAGCATGCCACGCCCACTCCAACGCCCACAAATCACGACAAAACTAAGATCGCTGAGATCTCAGAAACTATACGAACTGAAAGTGTTAACAATGTTAAATGTTTTCAAACAAAAAGTATGGATTCGAATAGTAATGGGTATCTTATAGTCGCGGCACTCGGCTATAGCGTTTCTTCTTGTTTTTATTTTTGAGCTCTTAACCCCGCTTTTGTGACTGCCATCTATGAGGTGTTAATGCTTTGTAAAGTTTGCAGAAAAACCAAAAAACGAAAAAATAATAACAAAGAACTCAAGAGGCAGAAGGCAGGAGGCGAGGCAAAGCTTAAGAACTCGAAGTAAGAGTTTAGGGTGTTAGGACACACAAAAACCTTGCCATCAAACAATAAAAAATAACAGCAAAAAATAAAAGAGCAAAGAAGTTCCCAACCACAAAGCATTTTTATGAGTTTCGTGTGTGTGTGTGTGTGTGTGTGTATGAGTTCGTCTCTTTTTCATTCTTCTAATTCTGTCTCATTCTCCTTTTTTTCTAGGACTCACTGGTGATTCTTTTTTTAAGTGGCTTTTACTTAGTTAGGCCAAAACTTGGCACTAACTTTGTGAAAAACTTAGTATTACGATGCAGAAGTGGCCAACGAGAATGCAGAATTTCAATTCGGATCTAGTGATGTCAGGATGATTACAAGAAGAAGCAAAGGTAAAAGTTATTCTATTTGATTTATCATCTTTATTTTTTATATGAAAAAACAATCTGTCTCATTGATTGCCAAATAATCTTAATTACTTTAGGGAATATGTGTCGCCAATCCAGTTCTTATCACTGAAAATATCTTAAAGACTTTCCACATTTCGTAGCCTTTTAAGTATCGAGAAACTTTTGCAACCCCAAAAATAAATGGAAAGTTTGTGACTCGATTTAGGGGGTCAAAATAGTTTTATTTCAATTAACAAGAGAAATTCGATGAGTCTATTTGTTGTGCGTGCTGAAAATGTGGAAAACTCGCTCTGCGTTTTATGCGACACAAGATAAGAGCAATGGCGACGGCCAAGAATTTAATGCCCCTTTCGGTCGAGTGTGTGTGCGATAATGTTGACAGATAATAAACTGGGAAAATTACAAAATTACAATCAAACATGGTAAAGGAATGGAGATGAGACGAAAAAGCACTGGAAAATCGTAACACCCATATGAGAGGGGAGGAGGGGTGGGCATTCGGCAAAAATGTTGTACAGGAAGGATGGGGTTTGTTCGGGTTGAGTTTTATATATATATGTATATATAGAATTTTATAGGTCGGTCCTAAAGGGGGGGAGTGGGGTTGGGTGTTACTGAAGCTCCTGGAAGAATAATGCTATTAATGGCGGACCATTGTCGAGCGAAAATTCCGGGTGTCCTCTCACTCTCTTCGGTTTGTAACGGCCCCCAGAATTGTGCACCCATTTTAGCGACGAACATAAATTTGCCGCTACAAAACTATTCAATTGAAAGTTATTTACGTTTATTGTTGTATTCCAGCTTTGAGCTGAGATTACCCTTTTTTCCTTTGGGGTTATAAAAATATTATCCTTAATTACTAAAATGTTTTATTAATTGGGGAGATATTTTAATTGTAGGAAATCCTTTTTGTAATCTTTTTTAAATAAACTTTCTTTAACATATTTGGGGTGTCTATCTTAAAGCTATTTTATCTTAAATTCTAGACAATTAGGCAGCGGTTTGATTTATGGCCAAATGCCATTAGGAGCTCTGCCAAGGCCATCGATTCGTCGAGCCTTCCATTGCCATTGCCTTAGAGCCCTTTCCACATCCAAATTCAAGTAACGAGTCTGGCAAAATCTATACTTCCGTTGTTAATCATTGGCATCACTTAATGGCCCCTTCCGACTTCCTTTCGAAAGGAATGCAATCAGCTAGACAAGCGCATGGATCCATTTTCATTTCCATTCCTAACTCCCCGCTCGAGTGCTTTTCCTTTTTTTTTTCTTTTTTTTTTCGGGAACAGCGAACACGCCCTTCAATTACAAATCACGGAATATTCGCAGGACTCGCCTGCCCAGATAATCTGCTAAAGGACTTCCGACTGGTGCGTGGAAAAGCAAAGAAAACAGGGGAAAAATCAAGATACATATATATTACTGCGAAGCAACACTGGCACAGGACTCTGTAACTGAAATCGCAGTGATATACGGCTGTGAAATCGAAACGTAACCGGACGGCGGGGGGACCGTTGCACAAAAGGCTTTAAGTTCTTCTTCTGTTCTACAATTCGCGATCCTTTGGCCGCTCGACAAAATCAACAGACTATGGCCACGGACCGCCAGACTCGAAGGCCTCACAGTTGGCGTCGCCTTTGTGAATTCAATACACTGGAAAAAATATTTAAGATTCTATAGGTAGATAGATACGCAATAATAATATCTAAGATTTTATTAAGAAATTATAAACTTATGAAAATAATTGTTAATTTTAAATGAATTTTATATTTGGTTTAAGTTTTAGTTTTAGTTTTTAATCCAAAAGGCTTTAAATATTTAATCAATAATTTATTTTTGTTTTAACTTAGCTCTTAATTTGATTTGTTAGTGTTCGGATTTCTTGGCCGGGGCAACTAGAAAGAATTTATTGCTCCTTGAGGCCGTGTAGCGTGTCCGAAGGACTCAGCGGGTTGCATGTGCCCAGCTCACTCCTTTTTATATTTTTCGAAAGTAGTCCTGTGAACATAGAGAGAGAGAGAGAGAGTGAGAGCTCTTTCGTCCTTTGGCTGCCGTTCGTTTTAGGCGTTGGCATTGCGTTTTCGGCGGCCGTGTTGAAATTGACAGCAAAATAATTGCTTGATTATTTATGAGACGCGACTTTGGCCAGACAGAAGGCAACTTTCAAAACATTTGTTTTCTACCAAGGTATTAAAACGCAACAGGATTTTATGTGTGTGTGTGTGTGTGTGTATGGTGTGTGGTGTGATTGTGATGTGTGCCCCATCCATTAGGCCTCCTACGCTTCTGTTTTCTGTTTCTGTCAGTGATTCTTATCCAAATAGTTATTCAAGAAATTCAAATTGTGGTAATTAAAAATGGTCACACACATGCTGGCCAAAGCACTTGACATATGGGTAGCCATAGCCATAGCCATAGTCATGGCCAGAAACAGAAACAGAAACAGAAGCAGAAACAGAATCTGAATCCTCATCCGAATCCAAATCAGGAGCAGAAAACAGGACCATAGAACCGGTGACGTGGCCTGGGCAAAAAAGGAGCTCTTTGGCTTCGCCTGCGGCTGGCTGTTATTATTTTTGTCACTGACAAAGCAAATCACCAGAAACCAACAAAGGATCTCTGGGTCCACCTCCTTTTCTAACCTCCCCAAAATCCCACCTCCCCCATCTCTGACCACCGAAACAAGCTATGCCACATACCCTTCAGAGATCCCCTTGCCCACAAAACCGGAGGCGTAACAAACGATGCCGCAGAAAAACCTCGTAGGCCCGGGCTCAGTTTCAGGCCCCTAAAACTCCTAGGACCCCTGTAAAGGCACTAAGAGAAAATATATATTAAAAATATTATGTAAAACATAGATTTTAAGGTATTATTTGCGTAAATAGAAATAGTTTTATAGCTATAAGATGTTAAAAAAATAAGATTTATACAATATATTAAGAGTTTAATGAATATTATTATTGAAATCCGTTAACAGAATGTAGATATGTAAATTAACAGTTTATACTTTTTAGTCTTAATCTAAAAATGTAAAAAACTTAAATAAGATCCCTAAGTTTATCTTAAACCCATAAATCTAAAATAATAGCTATATTAAAATGTAATTATTAAGTTAAATTTCAGTTCTTAAGAAAGTATACAAATTCAACACGATCGAAATTTCGATTGTTTAAGTTTTTTTTGCAGTGTATCCTTCAGGGTCTGCCAACTGCGGGCAATTTTCCTGTTGAATTATGAGGATATTTGTTTCGTCATGAAAGATTGGCCCCGCTACCGGTACCAGTTTCCATTTCCTCTCACTCTAATCCTTTTGCCAACCAACGGGGCCAACTGTACATTTCTTTCTACAGCTTTCATCTTCTTCAGATGGGTGGGAAATGTGTGGGCACATAGGTAAGGGAGATGGGTGTAGGATTTTCCACGTATCCACCCGAAAAAAAAACAAGGGGGCACAGGGTGGTGTTTTCAATTTGCATTGCCTGGTGGACCCTGGAAGCCTGGCCACAAAAACAGAACTGGAGGAGAATCGTCAACTTTGCCTTCGTCGTGAGCTTACCAAATGCACTGCAAGTGAATGCACTCCACTGACTTTTGGGGTCGGTTGGGTTCGTGAACCATAACCCCCAGTTGGCGGGAGGATGGACTTTTCCTGGGCGAAAGGGGTGGCAAGGAGACAGGCACACATGTAACACATGAGTCTTAGGCAGGACCCATGGCCTGGACGATTGCATCTACAATTCATAGAAATTTCAAACGATGCGTAAACGAAAACGGAAAACGGCCCAACAACGTCTGAGGAGGAGCAATTGTCCCTAGGAAAGTCACAGAAAAAGGGGGGTTAGGGATTTGGGTGTTGTCGAGTAGGAACACCAGGAGGAAAAGTAGTAGTACCCCAGCATTTTTGGGAAAGTGTGATGTTTGTGTGTGGCAGAAAACCCAAAAGAGAAGGACTACGACTACGACTACGACGACTATGGGCATCCATTGCAGCCAGCAGTTGAAAGTAAACGAATTGTGGCTATGGCCAAAAATTGCGTTTACTGTTGCGTTGCTGAAATGCATGTGAAAAGACGGGTCAAGTGTGGGACCGTAGGGACGACAGTTACAAAAACAATAACAACAACACCAAAAAGGCATAGGGGTAAAGGTGGCGTTGGAGCAGTCACAGAACCGGCATCCAAAATCCGACTTTGGTTGATGATGAGTGTCGTTATCGTTTTGCGGAGTTTTGTTTTGTTGACCCTTAACCCACGCACATACACATACATACACATGAGCATCAGCAGGCTCCGCCTTAACCCC